ATATAAAGAATATAAAGATTTATAAATACAAATATTTTATACATATGAATATATATAAACATCAATGTGAATATTTAAAATATATATACTGAAAAATATAAATGAATTAATACATAAATTAACAGAGCTTATTGTTATGCATAATAAATATAAGTAATAATAAAAATAAGTATTTATTAGCAATAATAAATATAGATGCATACATATATACAAATATCATATTTATAAATATGATTAAACAAATATAAATTGGTATGCATTATAAACGTAAGTAATAATACTAAAATAAATACCAGAGTATTTATTTTAGTGAATACTTAGTGAATCTCAAAGCAAGGACAGCTGCCCAAAAAGTTAATGCCTTTGATTTCAAATGCCTTCAACATGTGAAAAATGTTTGCAATGCAGATGAATGAATTTGTGTCAGAAGTTTTTCCATTACAGAAACACTCTTTATATTATTCCCTGGCATCGGCACAAATAACCAACCAACGCCTAAAACTGCTTTCAGAACATGATTAATTAAGAAAAAAAACAGAGTATGTTTTTCATAACCGTCAGAAGTTAAACTGCCACAGTGTCCTGCTCAATCAAAAGCCTTTACTTGCTTCTCTATGCAAAGCACTTTAAAATGTGAGTGAGAGCTGACGTCATGTGACAAAAGGACAGCACTCCACACAACTATACACACAAGTCAGAGAGGCTATTCAAGTCACAGCAATGTCCAGGAAGTCTCTGCTCCGAGATCACAAACAAATTGCACAAACAAATGCATGCTATTACATGCAGAAATAAAACAAATGTCACCATACAGGAATGCTGATTTATTTAATGCTCCTTTCCAGTTCAAATAAACAGGCCACAGATACAGTGCACAATGCAACATATGACCTAAGTGGCTCTACATTATTGGTGCAAGAGCGATGTGAAATCTTCCAGGTATAGTGCTCTTCCTTTCATTCCCAAAAACCCCATGCAGTTTTGCAACTCCTGCCTGAAGCTGTCCATGCAGAAGAGAGGGAATTAAAGCTCTTACCTGGGCAAGCACAACCTCCAACAGACATCTTCTCACATGTTTGGCACTGCTCTTAATGAAATGGTGTTGTTCAGTCCACGCACTGTTAGCATGGGCTTCTTCTGAGAAACAGAAACAGGCAGAAAGGGGTGGGGAGTCAGCAGGAGGAGGGCACAAAAAAATCAAAATGTAGAAACAAGAGCTCAGCGAGAAACAGGAAGTAGGAATTACACTCCTGCTCGACACTGCGCCCAGGTTCATTAATATGCAAATTGCAATACTTGTGGGAGGGAGAAAATATGAGAGTGAGAGACAGTGTGTGTTTGTGTGTGACACAGGAGAGGATCAGAGAGGGAAAGCAAGAGCCAACATTGTCAAAGTGACTTGTGAGGCACATTTTAGAGCACACTGGCCATGTGATGCTGTTCTTTTTTTCTCTCCATGCATTGCCTATTTTTGCGTTGTGCTGCTAACGGAGAATAACAGAGGCAGCCAGAGCCACGGAGTCATTACCGCCTAGTGGAGCTACGACACACTGCATAAACACACACACACACACACACACACATACACACAAGCACACGTACAGCCTGCCCTCCTGATGCTCCCTGGGGTCTGCTGTACAGCTCACCCCTGCCAGAGTGAGACACACACACTCTATCTGCTGCATGACTGATCTGCCTTCTCCTCATACAGCCGTCCTTGTGCTCTTTCCATGTTCTGTACATTTCAGTAAACCTACCTATGCATTGCTGTACATTATTCTGTCTCTTGGATACATTCACAAAAAAAGTACAGTGGGGTAGATGCACACAATATATTGGTACCATATTGGTTATTAGCAAAAAAAAAAAAATTATAATAATAATGTTTTTAAAAAAATTGGATACATTTAAAATATTGGATATTCAATTGTACATGCCTATTTATAATACATTTGCCTCCATTTAACAAATGTTAATATTTGTATAATATTGTATGCTTAATATTTAATATTTGTGTATTATTATACAAATTTTTACAGTGAATATTTACATAAACATTAATAGCAAATAATAAATATAAGTAATATTAGCATAGTAAATATTAATAAAAAAGACACTAATTTAATAACACTTAATGAATTAATTAAATCTTTGTACTGTATTTATTTTAATATTGTGATGCCTAAATTCACTTGTAGAATTTAAAATGATTGATTTTAGTTTGTTTTCTTTTTTTATTTATTTAGAGTAAAAAAAACATATAATATTGGAATATTAAATTGGAAAATATATAATAATGGAATTTTTAATATCTATAATTTTAATACCAGTGCCTGTGAGAGTACAATGATTAGATGGAAATACTATGGCATTTACATGGTAATTTTTCATGGTACAAAAAAAACATGCTTTTGTAATTACAATAACTGTGATTTATTCATAGTGACAAAAATTATACTGTTAATGGCTTCATATTCATATACCATTCCATTTACATAGTGCTTTTACTGCTACTCTTAAGAATACTATGGTATTTTTATGTCCTAAAACATAGTGTGTATATATATATATATATATATATATATATATATATATATATATATATGCTAT